AAAGCCACTGACAACTAACTGGACAAGAACAATGACATAATTTTTATGTTTCATTTATCATTTACATTTTCAAACTGAAAAGTGTTCCCTTTATACAGGCATATTACCCTACTGCACTGAGGATTTGATCCAATTATTAAAGTAACTAGAGCAGAGTTGAGTTCATAAGAAAAATGTGATTTCATCCTGCCATTCACTCCTCTCCTGCCCCTGCCTATCCTTCTCCCACCCAAGACATTGCATATACACAACAATAACAAAAGACACAAAAATATAATAAAATTAGAATGGACAATGAGAATGGAAGTGAATTGCCTCACATTAATGCAAGTGTTATATACCTTCCCAAAGTCTTCCATCTAGCTATCCAATTAACTGTTACCTTCAGACTGACAGGAGGGGGATTTTTTTTTTTTCATTGCAGAGCTTCAGTAACTTACCAAAGTTATCAAGAAAGGAACAGAGATGCACACAAGGGGAATGCTTATCGATATAGATCATTTGGATTTTAAAATTTGAAATGGTAAATGAAAGACATCAGCTTGGTAACTCAGAACTGATGAGAAAAAGAGAGAATGGGTTTAAAACATATATTAGATTTTTTCAATATTGTCTTTCCAAGGAGAAGGGATGAAATTCAGTCACCCATGGCAATGACCTGTATCAGTTATATTTCTTTACTGAAAGGCTGACAGTGCAACCCAAGTGTGTCAGTCACCACTGCTGCTCACAGGTATACAAAGTATGATATATCTCTTCCAATAAAAGGAAATATGACTTTTGTAATGGTTAGAATTGTAAGTAACTAGTCATAACTACAAATAAGTAATCGCACTACTGAAAAAAAAAGGAAAAAAAAGTAATTTGTTTCAATAATTCTGGGTAACATCAGTTGTTTTCTTGCATTTTAATATGTCCAAGGTCAGCCCAAGCAGAGTTTAGCCCATTTGCTAGGATTAAAGCATTATCTTTCCATTTTCTGCAGTTTGGAACAGTGATTCCAAAAAATAAAATCAGAGAATCTAGTTTGCCTTTGTTCTCTTCCTTCACCTTTAAAACTATTAAAATATAATTTCCAGTGAAAAGAATATTTAATGGAAAAACAGCTTGCTTTCCCATTTTCCCATTTCAATCCCATTTTTCTTACTGAAACTACCTCTCAAAAAATCCCAGTACCTTCTATTTTTCCTTTCCCTGAGCCCATGTTATTGTCTTAAGCACAGAACAGCAGACAGCAATATCTGACTAAGAAGCTGGGGTAAGATTCGGATGGCAGATGGCTGTGCTTACAATTTCTGCCAGCTGGACACCAGAATTAATTAAGAAGAAACCCGGGGAAAGCAACAGAAAGGAACAGAAATTATGTTCCTATACTTGCAGAAAGGCTACCGTTTCCGTATTTTCAGAGCGCATTGCTAACTGCCACAGACCGTGAATCGAAGCTGTAAGATCTCAGAAGATCCGTACCCTCAGTGCAGCAAGGCTGCCCGAGGACTACGCTCCCGCCCCACCGCACATAACACTGGTAGAACTTGGAGAGCCGCAGCTTGCCGTAATTGCTGAAGATCAGGACAGTTTTGATCGTGGTGGAGTAGCGGCGCGGAGCCGGAGCTGATACCGACCGGCCAGCTCACTACATTCCGTTCCGCAGCACTACGGCGCACCCGAACCAAACCCGCTAGCAACCGAATAGCTCCTACTGCACGTGACCCTACTCACGTCACCTGACGGAAAGGTGGCACTCCACGAGAGACAAAATGCCTTGCAAAGCGACCTCGTTAACGCGGCGCTTGGCGTCGCTTCCCCCAGTATCCTGCGGATAGTAGTATAGCAGAAGCGGAGGAGCAGCTGAGTATTTCGCCTCAGAGCGAGGGCCGGAACAAGGGTGGGGAGGAAGCTCAGGAAGGTGGAGCTGTGGAAAGTGCTGCTGACCCGGTCCCACCTCCGATTGGCTCGCCAGACACAGAAGAGCCCACTGGTGACACTAAAAAGAAAAGTAATGGGGCAAGAAGTCACTACGGAGCAAAGGCAGGCGAGGGGGGGGGCGGGCGTGTGTGAAGGCTTATGCTGTGATGGGCAGGTGCGCTGACCAATCGGCAGTGAGAGCACATGGTTCCAACCAATGAGGATATGGGGTGTGCAGTGCCCCATAAAGCCGGTGCGCTGGGCCTAGGCCGATGCCGTTAACGTTACCTCCCTTCCTAGTTGATATCCTCCTGAAACCCGTGGGAGATACTCCCATCATGAAAACCAAGAAGTGGGCTGTGAACAAAGCCCAAGAAATGTTATGACTTTATTTGGAAATAGCATATGGATACCCTACTGCGTGTGGTCATCTTGTACTGTGGATCTGTGAAAGGCAAGATGCTAACTGCAATGTGACTTGCTTAGAAGAACGATAAATGAACACTACCTGAGACTATGAGCTTTTACCTCAGGGTCGATGTGACCTGAAGACCCAACCTAAGCCAGCTCTTACTGGCTGAGAACACCCCATACCAATGACAAAACAATAGAAGATTTACCCTTCAATGAAACCAGGCATATAACTACGGCCAGAACAGCAACTGACCAGAACCCAGTATAAAACCACTCCACCTGCATGGGACATTGGTTTGGAACAATGAGGTTTAACACACCACTGACCATACATCTGTACCACCTGCACAGGACAAGCATGTACTGATCATACACGGGACAAGTACATACCAATTACACAAGCAATAATAACTGATTAGCCCACCCCTTAACATGAATAATTTGATTGGTCTACACAACTGTATTGTAACATATATAAACCCTGTTTTCCTCTGTATCGGGGTCCTCCATGCATTGGCTGGGGTATGACTATGCGCATAGCTAATATGAGAGAATAAATTTCCTTGGTAATTCTATGCTAAGCATCCTTATCTCCCTCCTCGGCTGGCAAAGAACTGACTTTTACGGATCCCAAGGCTCTCTTGATATTATTAATAGGTACTGTGTATGTATATTCATTTGGGGCAGGAAGTGTAAAGGATGACTTCAAAAAAGAACAAAATAATTGTAGTTTCTGTGAGCATTGTTCTAATTGAGCATACTTGG